GCCAGAGGCCCACCAGGCTGTCACGTGTCACATTTCATGGTCTTATTCGCAGATGCTGACATTGAGATATTGACTGGCTGTTTAATTAGCATGTTAAGAATCTCTTTGGGCCTCATCTGCATGTTCATACATGTGAGTGTCAGCTGAGCCCTGTGTTGCCTCTTTACTGACAACATCTAAAACTCCAGCAGCTGAATCAGAGCAACGTGTGCCTGGAAGAGTCTGCAGCAGTCATACAGTCTGTGACACACACACACACACACACACACACACACACACACACACACTATAGAGGCAGGTGAAGGGAGTAATGTGAACATGTCCAGCGACGTACAGGTTTGCCCACCCTGCCGATGACGGGCAGCTTGTGTGCATAGGTACGTGGTGGAACAGCAGGAACAGGCGGAGTTGTTGCAAACATCGTCTGGAAAGGGCGGCGGCCTTGACAACGCTGACCCATTTGCCGCCCACCAATAAGAAAGGAAAACACAGGTGGTGTGGTCTGAGGTGAGGTGAAGCGAGCTTTGGGGAACACCTCACGAGACAGACCAGCTGAACGTTGGCGTGAACACGACGAGGAGGATTTGGAGCGCTGCATAGACGAGGCGCGAGGCACAGCCCTGGGTGGACACACAGAAATAAATCAACACAAACACACACACAGACACACACAGGTAGATCGGTGCTCCTCTGGTTGCTTTACCTAACTGACCCTGTGCCTGAAAGACTCGGCGGAGGTGGATCAGTGCGCGGACTCCCGTCCTGTCTGGGGCTGATGTTGAGGTTGGCGGTGAGCTGTGGCATCTTCCGGGTGGTGTCGAGGTTGGAGGCGGGGCCGGGAGGCTCCTTCCTGGAGTCACTAAGCTGGGATGGAGTGCAGGGCGAGTGGGTGCCAAATCCTGGACCTGTGCTAAAGCGGACAGCCAGGCTGTCGCCGAAGAACGAGTAAAGCTCACAGTACATGGCGGGCAGAGGGACGGGGGTCCACTCCTCCCAGTGACAGCCGGCTCCACCCACCTGGAGGTGGCTGGCAATTCCAAGGGCAGCTTCTGACAGAGGCTCAGGAGGTGGGCTGAGTCCCGGAGAGTTCACCCTGTAGCTCGCAGCTCCCACCACAGAACCCGGATGAGCACCGGGGTGTCCCTCTGCTGACTGCGACAGAGACAGCGCCTTCATCTTTAGCAGGCGCTCCACCGCCACCTGCAGGACAATGAGAGGAAGTGGCGACTTAGGTGGGACAAGATGAACTCAAA